TCTATTAATATATAATAAGGATTAACATAATTCACTTTTAGAAACACTTTCTCACCAATTTCATTAATTACCTTCTATATAGAGAAATAGCACACAAGTGGATCATTAATTGCTGGAGATAATATATCAGTTAAAAAAAGAAATTCTAATTGCTAGAGATAATCTATTAGTTAAAATAGGAAATGAATTTGTAATTTACTTTGTCAAATTAAGATTTTGAGTTAATCCTTCTATAACACGTTTGTGCGGACGGAATACATAGATACAACCTCAAATCTATACTTATATAAAGAGCCATCATATTTACTAAAATTAGTAGCAAAAAAATAGGTCAGCATTTAATGCAGCCCATAAATAGTAGTTTTATTATTTTTCTTATTTTTTTCTTTAAAAATCACAATTTAATTTATAAATACGATTTAATATAATCATACAATTTAATTTATAAAAATCGTACATTTTAATTTTTTTTATTTAGAAATACGCTTAAATATATATATATATATATATATATATATATATATATTAATTTTTGTAATAAATTGAATAAAATGATAAACAATTTAAATATTTAATTAATTGATATATAATTTATAAATCTCTATTTATTTAAATATGTAATTTTATTTAAAATTATTTTAATATAGCCAAATTTATTTAGAAAATCATATCGAAACAACCAGTTCAACAGACTGGTGTTGACGGATTCAATAGCAAATATTTTATTCAAGTGAACTAGACTGATTATAAACCGGTTATCGATCCATCTGGTCGGACTGTGTCCAACAAGGTTTAATTTAAAACCGATGGGTAAATCTTGATTAGTTTATTTGTATATTTAATTTATAACACAATTGTAATATTGTTTTCTCGTGCGATGCACGGGCAATGCACTAGTGATTTAAATGAATGGTCTTTTTTATCCAATAATACTCCATCAACATAAACATTAACCAATAAAATAATAATTGGCCACATATTATTACCTACGTATATACAACCTTAAATCAAATCATACAGTACCTAAGTTCACTTTAATATATAAATTATTAGAATAATAAAGAACAAAATTTTATAGATAACATATATGATTTTATTTTTTTTCCTTTACGATGTAAAAAAAACTTTTTAATAAAAGTAACAGGCTTCATAATATATATCTATTTGATTATTTTTATTCTTTTAGTTTAAATCTATTTGTTTATAAATATATATAATATTATATTATACTCATATCGCCATTTTCTATTAATCTATACTTATATTAAAGGCTATACCATTTACTAAATTTAGTATGTAGAATAGTCAAAGCAATTAATGTTTTTCTATTTTTATCATTTGAATATTATATTTTATATTTATTTATTTCAAATCTAATCATTACTTAATGCTTTTAAATGCAGTTGAAAAGTCAGCACATTTTTTGGTGTTTGATTTTTAAATCCGTGCATTTGGGAGTCTTCCAAACTATTTTCATAAAGAAAATATTAATCAGATTTCTTTGTTGTTAAAAAAAAATCTCAAAAAAATAAAAATTTGATATCTAAATTAGTTAGAGATTACGATGGCTTATTGAATGGGTCAACATACAGATCTTCAACAGAAAATAAAACATATGATTGTGAATTATTTTTCAGCGCGTAATCTATCTATATATATATTAAAAGCTAACTTATTTACCAAAAACAGTAGCAAGAAAAGTCAACACGCATTTAATGCATACTTTAATTGGAAATTTTTTACTATATGCATTAAATGCTTGCATATTTACATTTATTATCCAAATATGATCTTTAAGATTTTTTTTTTAAATAATTTATGCAATGATTTTACTGATATCCATTATAATTAATATTTGTCAAGTAATATTTTTTAACCTTTATTTAATTATATAAAACTAATATTTTTTAAAAAAATTAATATTATTTATTATTTAAAAGATAATGATCACATAATTAAATGATTTTATTGATGTTTAGATAATAAATTTATAGTTATTTTTTAAAATTTCGACATGTTATTTATTTGTATATTATTGTCAACTATGATAGTGTTTTTATCACTTTTTTTTGTTATGTTTCAAAAATGAACTTATTGTAAAATATTTTTCTATTGCATAGTATGTTAAATAAACTATAAAGTCTTAGGATGAAAATTAAAAAAAATCTCTTGAGTATGTAAGGGATTTATTTTTTGGCAATTGCTAAATCATTTATAAAAAAAAAATTATTATGAGAAAATTGAATTCTAAAAAACATGTGTGCGTATTTTGTAAACATTTATACTCAAAAATTTATTTTGAATTTCATTACATAAAGAAGACTACTTTTATAATTTTTATAAATAATAATAATTACATTATATGACTGTAAATTTTATAATAAAATAATAATTGAGTATTATATGGTGAACAATAATTAATGAAATTTTTATTTTTCCCTATATCAATGAATAAATATGTATTCTAAAATCAAATAAATATTAGTATGATGTGTTAGCGGAATTATATATTAATTAATATGTTAATTTTTTGGCTTAAATAAATGCCACTTATTAAAAGATGTGAAATATGGATGATCCGAGCTTATTGTTTTTTTGTCTAGACGTACAAGTCTTATAGAAATAATTGATTTATTATATGTATCACGTGCATCCCACGGGGTATGCACTAATAAATGACCTTAAAATTGTGCACCCCGTGCATCACCCGTGTTCACATTTTGGCCTATTACAGGTCACGTACTATATATATCTCGTACATTTTTTTATTCATTTATATATAATGACCTTAAAATTGTGCACCCCGTGCATCGCACGGGCTAAGTACTAGTAATTATTATTTAAAGAACAAAAGATCATTTATTCTACTACGTGCCAATATTTTGTTTTTTTTAATATTGTAAAATATTAAAATACCAAAACAATCAAGATAACAAATTCTCAGGATATCGAAAAATTAAATTAAACACGTTTTGAATGGAAACAAATCTAACGTAAATTGAGAGTAAGAATCAACAAAATAAATAAAAAAATGCACTAATCATGGTACAAATAAAATAGTGCTATTATAAAATTAATAATACAAAATTTGATCTTTAAGGGAAATCTGATTTGCATGTTTCTATATACATATAAACAAATATCATATTTGAACTTTAAAATTTTCTTTTTTCACATATATTTATGTAATATATACAACTTAAATATCATTTAAAACTAACAATATATTGTAAAGATTTCATTTCAAAGTTAAACAAAGAAAGGAATCAAATTGTTCATAAAACAAAATTAAAATAACAAAATATATAAATAAAAAAATTCACTAATCATGGTAACAAGTTTTTATAAGTACCACAATATTCTGTTCACTATTTCACTAATCATGTATCCGATTGCATTCAAAGTCATTCAAAGAATGGAGTCAAATATATCTATATAAAATAAGAACAAGGTTAAATCATTTTTTGAAAGAATTTCCCGCCAAAATCATTAATTATATACTAAACAGGGTAAGTTATATATATATATATATATATATATATATATATATTAGTTTTTTTCAAATAAAAAAACATTAAATGCACTGCCATAAGCTCGATTGTTCTTTGTCACATTATTATATATTTTTACTATAATTTTATTTCGTGGTGTTGACATTCCAAAAATCAACACAGAATTAGATAAATGAGGTGTTTATCAATTACCAAGTGGAGAGAATATCGGTCTACAGTTGCCAAGTGTCAAATAATTTTGCATGAAAAAATGATGAGACTTTCAATAATGTATTACTTTTTTCTTGACGGACATTTTATGATTAGTTGACAAATCCTCTATGTATCATAACTTATATTAATAGCCTTCTATTTTTAAATTTTACCAAAATATATATAGCCCGTGCATCGCACGGGGTACATACTAGTTTTGTAAAATCTATATCTATATATATAAAAAAGTTTGATTATTTTTTAAATAATAAATGTTTCCCGCCAAAAAAATGTTATTTACTAATTCTGGAAACTTTTAAATATTTTATGTTATGTGTTAAAATACAATTTAAGTAATTGGGATGATTAATTAAAGTAATAAATCACATAAAAATTTCTTTTGTATCTCAAGATACTATATCATATATTTGTACATATATATTATATATATGTACTTAAAATATCAAGATCTATCACATTCCTAACTAATTAATCACATCAATAAATAATATTAACATACATTAATAATAATAGATTTATTTATATATTTTTAAATTAATCACATCAATAAATAATATTAACATACATTAATAATAATAGATTTACTTATATATTTTTAAATTAATCACATCAATAAATAATAATAACATACATTATATGAAAAAGAAATATTACTTCTATAAATGGTATAAATAATATTGACATTAGCCGGTTTCGGTCTGGAGTCTCTTGCTTCGTGCTCGATGTCATTGCCTTGGGTTTTGGGATTATCGGTTAGCCGATGGGAGGGTTTATTCTAGTATTTATCTTTGTGTTTTTTAGTTTCTTTGGTTATTTAGGGGGTTTTATTCTCCTTTTGGATGTCGTATTCTCCTGTTGGGAGCATTTATTTTTTTTTCTCCTTTTGGGAGTTGTATTCTCCTGTTGGGAGCATGTGAGTGTGTTGCGGCTAATTAGGCGGCCCCTCGAGTTGTCCTCCCACAAGATTCAGCTGTGTAGTTGTTTTTTTTCGGCTATTAATTGTCTTCTTCATTTGTATCTATGTGTTTCTATCTACGAAAGTATGCCCTTCGAAAAAAATAAAAATAAAAATATAAATACATGTAGAATAAAATATAACGCAAACAATTAAAGATAAACATAGATTGTTGATTAACTCTACGAGCTCTAGAGATAAAAGCTAGAAATTGTTTCATGAAATGTTAAATTTAGCTCTAGTTCTATTACCAAATAGTAGATAAAAGCTAGAGATTGTCTCATGAAGTGTTAATTTAGCTCCAGTTCTATTACCAAATAGTAACTGCATCGATAAATGATCTCCTATTATTTTTTCATTTAATTATCAGCAGAAGCACATTCCAGTAAGCTACTACCACAGATTAACATAAATGTATCTTCCATGAAGCAAACTCCCTTAGATTGACCTAGCATTACATTAAAAAACTCACCTTAACTTAACCACCACAGTTTCCATGTTCCGATTCTTAAACCACAACCACTAAAAAGTAAAAACACCACTAAAACAACACAAAACTCTTAAAAACAGCCAACAGTACCCTCTCAAACTTCACTCTGCTGCCGCTGCTCCCCCTCCTCCTCCTCCTCCTCGGGCCCTTCCTGCTGCACACCCCCAGCCTTCACCCACGGCACAAAGGGCAGGCCCGGCCCGTGCCCCGCGTACATCCCCGGGCTCTGCGGGCCCACATAGTAGTACGGGAGTCCGTCCACACCGGCCGGCGGGCCCACAAGCGGGACCTTGGTGATCCCGAGGCCGTCCTCCTTGAGCTCGTCCCTGGGGATGATATCCACCAGAAAGTCGAACACGTCGGTCCTCGAGATGGCCGCAGCGATGTCGTTCTTCTGCAGGGTTCGGCGCTTGTTCTCCTCCGTGTGGATCCACGCGCGCAGCGTGAGCTCGAGGATGAACATCTCGCAGGCCTTGGCGAACACGACGGGGGCCTCAGCAGAGATCATCCGCACGTCCTCGTCAGCCTTCATTATCTTCTTGATGCGGGCCAGCGGGAGGCTGTGGTTCTTGAAGTCGGTTGCCTGGTCGACCTCGTGCATCTGCCCAGCCCAGAAAGCCTGCAGCTGCTGCTGCTGCTGGTGGGGGTGCTGAAAAGGAGGAGGCTGCAGGTGGGCCGGGTAGCTCGTGGGGGAGGACACAGTTACGGTCAGAGCTCCGTGTGGGCCGGCAGGCCCCACGGAGGAGTAAGGCACTGGGACTCCTCCGGCTGCTGCCGGGTGGTTGTGGTGTGTTGAAGGTGGGTGCCTCTGGTCAGAGTGGTCCATGACGGGTTGATGGTCTGTATTGTACTGTTTTGACTGTCGTCTATTGTGATGTATCTTCAATTGGAAACTAAATTTTCGTGGTCAGAGGTATAAGTATCAAGAGACGTGAACACAAATATACATTTGAGTGATGCCGGCTAAGTAGCGGAGGAATTCATTATAGCACGGTACCGACCCAAAAAACTGAAGTAAAGTAAAAACACATGCCGCATAGCAAGAATAGTAAAATGACTCTTAATTTCACTAGCTTCAATCCGAATAGCATGTGTTAGATGGGCAGCATATAGTTCTTCAATTAATTTCTCTAAAAATTTAATCTGCAGCGTATACATAAACCAACCCAACCGGAGCAGAAAAGAAAATATTCAACATTAGAACTCCATTCCCAATTCACAAGCTCTCTGAAAAAAAGCACACCGATTTTATTACAAACAAACCAGGGATAAATCGAAGCGACTTACTGCGTAAATTCAAGTGTTTTTGTTGTCTAAGGAAAAGAAAGAAACTCACCAAATCCACCTAAAATAGCTCAGAACGTGAAACAAGAAAACCAACCAAAGTATAAATGTGAAGTGCTATATATGTAGCTTGAACACTAGAATTACATGGCATATCAAGGCAATTTTTTTTTCTTTTTTTTTTGTCCATCGCAAATGGAGCTGGAAGAGTCATTGTTGACAATTCTCGGCATAGTGCTGATAATGGACTAGATCAAAATGGTTCAATTAAATTCTAGTGCTTTTTCTATTAGTGAAATTTCTAGAAAAAAAAATATATCAAATGGCGCAATGCACCTTGGGTCGCTACGAAAACAACCTTCTTGTATAATTACAAGGGTAAGGTCTGCGTACAACTGACCCCGACCCTCACCCTAACCTGTTGCGAATATACTGGGTATGTTGTTGCTGTATCAAGGCAATTTTTTCAAAGCTGTAATTTTTTAATGTCAATTTTTGCAGAATTATCACGAAGCCAGCTCAAATTAAGGGACAAAAAAAATCAACCAAGATCCGAGATAACGAAATTCATACATCATAAGGAAACTCCGAACAACAGCACAGAACAAACAAAACATGGTAGACTAGCTAAAATATAAGGGGGTATAGTGATGACGAAAGCACACACCTTCACATAATTCTCGAAAAAACAACAGGCTACGCCGGTAAGTATAAACCCTAAGAGAGAGAACTTTAGCAGAACCTTTAGAGAGAGAAACGGGGGAAACGAGCGGAGGGAGGAGAGAGAAAGAGAGAGCTCTTTTGATTCAAAAAAGGGCACGATGAGAGAGAATCATATAGGGGGGGAGCTGTGGCCTGAGACACGTGTCTCGAGTAGAGGCACCGAATTTGCGAGAAAGAGTGGTGGGGATGTACACGTGTTGGAATTTTGGTTGGGACGTGAGGAGTACTCGGGTCACCGGCTGTGATGTAAGCGAAGGTGACAGGTGAACCAAGTGAGGTGACCACCAAGCATTCGAGTCAAAGCTCGGCTTGATGATGTTATCGAGTTGATATTAAGTATAAGTTTTAGAAGGTCGAACTACTCGCGAGCGGCTCGCGATATGTAACGAATTACTAAAATACCTCTTATATATAAATATTACAATATTTTATATGTGTATTAGTGATAATTTTATTTGAAATTTGAGTCGAACTCGAACAACCTTTCGAGCATTTGATTTTAATAGATCTCGAGCTGAGCTCGAGCGATTGTCTTATTTTGTCGAGTCAATCTCGAGCGTCATAAATCAAGCTCGAGCAGGTGAGAAAAAAAAAATCAGTCTTACTCCATAATGCTAATGCTCGACTCGTTTGTAGCCCTACTTTCTTCTGTGAGGATATAGTGCAATAGGATTGGCAGGCTTCATGTGATTGGGTTGCAAATCAAGAGGATCGAACTCTTCCTGGAGTGAGATGAGTACTTGAAGAAGCTGCCAAGGCCGACTGGGAGGAGATTGACTGCTGCTTGAGTGACAGAGGAGTAGTGTCGAAGCTGAATTCTTCCATACTTTTGCTTCTGCTTTTACTTTCCGTTTGTCCTGATGTTGTGGATTTGAAAAACTATTTTGTGTATTGTTGTTTCTCTTATTACTTTTTTTCTTAGTTTTCAGTTTAGTGGGTCTTGTTGGCGTAGAGGGGGAACGTTGCTACGTTGCTCTCGTTGTATCCCTTATCTAGTTTTGATAGGGATGATGTTATATAATCGATTGGTTATTCTTTTTTTAGAAAAAATAATTAAGTGTTCTAATCGGTTGATCTGCGCCTTGTTGTCTAATCGCCAATATGCGCCTTGTTGTCTAAGCAGTTGGTTATTCCTCTTTACATTTTTTAGTTATTAATATCAATATAGTTTGCATCGTCTGAAGAAAAAAAAAAAAAGGTATCCAACAAAAAACTCGTAGCTCGTTTTTTGTTGAATGCCATTATTTTTCTTTTTCTTCAAACCACCGCTGACCGAAAACATTTTTCTCTCTCCTAAAAGAAAACCCCAATCTCCTTCATCTGAAACCCTCGTCGTCAATTTTACCACCGCCACCTCCCCCCTTTTGGGCTCTATGTGACGTTGCGACGCCGACCGTCTCCTGTCCGTGCAGCTCGTCTCTTGAAGTGCTGGCTGACTCTCTCCGATGTAGTGTTTCGCCGATCTTTAAGGTTGACTATGTTCAGGGAGTCTTCGGGGGGCGCAATGGGAGGTCGAGCGGCAGGCTCCAATAGTCTTCGTGGAGCTGGTCGGAGCTGTGGTTAGGTTCTCTTTTTTTCATTTTCCGTTCTTCACTGTTTTTGGAGAGTTGGGCGAGTGCGGGCTGCGGGCAGGAGGATGAGGCCTTGGCTACGGGTGGGGGAGTTTGTCGGGGCGAGTTTGGTGGCCGCAGTTCACGCTCGGTGTGCGGGAAGAGGAGAAGCTGGCCTCAAGTTGTCGGTTTGGAGTGGTCCGCTCGGGTGTTGATTTTGGATGTGGTTTCATTTAGCCAAGTTAGACGTCTCTGGAGTTTCTGGAGCTATGTTCGGGTTGTGTTCCCATTCGTGTAGGCCGTTTACTCAAGGTGTTGTGTTCGTGGCGTCGCAATTTGTGATCGAGTTGGGGGAAGAGTTTATTCTAGTATACTGTGTATTTGTTATTCTTTGTGTTGTTTTGGGTGTTATTGGCGTGTTGTTAGATTCTTCTCACTAGGAGTGCGATTATCCTCTTTAGGTGTGTGATTCTTGTTCTTAGAAATTTGATTCTATTCTTTAGAAGCTTGATTTTCTCTTTGTGGGAATGTTTAGTTAGTTATGTGCGTTAGTGTGGCTATTTGTAGAATGCACTTATATGTGTAGATCTCTCGCTAGATTCGGCTGGATGGTTGCTTGGCTTATTTTGGATGATGTTTACTTTTAATTATGTGTTTTTATCAGTAATGCTAAGGAGTTAACAGTTGGCTCCGTTATGGAGCCAACAACCAATTGGATAACTCCATGTGGGGTTGTCCCACATTAAAGTATTGTGGGCCAGCACCACCTGGAGTTGTGTCATTGGTTGTTGGCTCCGCAACGGAGCCAACTGTTGGCTCTAAGCAATATGTCATTTCAGAAAAAAGAAAAAAAAAACGAGCTACCTGCCAACCTCGATAATATTTTCCTGTCTCCATTGGTTTCTTTTCGTATTTAAATACCGTCTTAGAAAGTTGGCCAGTTCTTATTCTCAAAGGCCAAAAACCTCTTTTCTACCTCTGGGGTTTAAATACCTCCTCTCCCTTCTCACTGCTTTGTATCATAATTGAAGACGAAAAAAGGTCCGCCAGAGTTTGTAGTAGTTTCCTCTGTTGACAAAATGGCGTTTACTTCTTCGCTCGGTAGATCTGCGTCGTCGCCTGTTCTCGATGGCGACACTTTCCGACCGTCGGAGCGATGTAAGGTGCGTGGTGGTTTTGTTTGTGATGTTCCTCCAAGGATTGATCTCAGATCAGCTGCTTTTGCATTTGGTTCGACTTTTTTTATTTTTTTAATATTTATTATCAATTAAATCTTCGGCTATGTAGCGATTCTAGAGTTCGTTTTCGTATTTTTGTTGTTGATGGACGTTATAGCTAGTTTCCTCTGTGAATGTTTGCTTGGATGCGTTTTTGGAGTTCATTGTGTTTGCCTGTGTTTATGTTCAATAAGGAAAGTAATTGGAAATGAAAAGTGGACTGATTTGGTTTGTGAATCGGTCATGCAGCTAATAATGAATTTGATGTTCCTCAAGAGATAGCCGGTACATGATTTATTAAACCTTTTGGTTGATCTGTGCTCTTGATAATTTGTTTTATGTTATTTTCATTTACATTTAGATATAAAAAAAGGGCAAATGCCTTACACTTCTCCATCTTATTGCCTGATGAACTGAATAAATATCTAGTTTAGAAAGTGTAGTCTGATCTTGTTGTTGTTAATTAATCGGTTTCTTTCTCGAGTGGCTATATACTTGTAGTGATGCTGATGATGATGATTTTTGTCAAAATCATGCTTGTTCATTCTTGTTTCCTCTGTTTATATCAGTTTTCTTTCTGTTCTGTAATGCATAATTGTGTAATCTGCCTTAGGTATCGTTTGGTGGCGTTAACCAGATTGGCAATGCTGTGAAATTCCAGTCTAGCATCTTCCGGAGTAATGCCCCTGTAGATTTATCTTTGCTACAGTTGAGTGAATGCTCATTCTTCTTTGTTCAAATGTGCTGATAATGCATGCTTCTTTCAAACATACTGAATTTGGTTATATATGTAGGAAGTGTTCTGTTCGCAGTATTCAGCCTATCAAAGCAACAGCGACAGAAGTACCTACAACAGTTCCCAGTAAGAAGTTGGTACTTGCATTTTCGTTTCCTGGATTTTTGTTTAAGGTCTGGTTCAAGTGTCTGACAAAGCTGCATCATATCTGTTGCCACTGACAGAATCGCACAGAAGTGGGAAAACAAAGATTGGCATCAATGGTATGTTAAATTACAGGTCGTGTTTTTCAAAACTTTCATGACTCTTTTTTTCTTTTCCTACAGTAGGAAATTTCAACGTTGAAAATTATCATTTGACACTCAGTAGTGAAATTGCTTTCATTCCACTTCCAGTACTTGTGAAACTGTGAGGTGTAGTTCTGTGTGCCATAATTTCCATGAATCTTCTCTGCACTACGATATTCGTTATGTCTGCTCTGAAAGGTCTAAAGGCCCATATTCGTAACAAACTTGAACTCTGTAGGTTTTGGACGCATTGGAAGATTAGTTTTGCGGATAGCAACTTTCAGAGATGATATTGATGTGGTGGCAGTAAATGATCCTTTTATTGATGCAAAGTACATGGTTAGTCTACCTTATGCTCATCCATGTAGATTATAGTGTAACACTACAACATAATTCATAGTCTCATATGCTTGGTTTTTATTACATGATGCACATTTGGTTTTATTGCAGCCGTTCCCGTCATAAAGTTTGGTTGGGTAAACAAGTAAAAAAGTGTAAATATTTTCTTGAAGGATAGAAATTCATTTTGACAAATATGTATGATACTGCATCCTTCTTTCAGTGAAAAGATTTGTTACCGAAACTTTGTTATGCAGTAAAAAGAGAACAAAAAATTTGCAAGGACAATTTGGAAGTAGGTATTTTTTGTACTTATATTCGGTTAACACTTTTTTTGGCTTATGTTATCACAAATACCAGGTTTGGCATTCTGTGTGATACATAATTTGTGCTCACTCCTCGTTAGCTGAATCGACTTACTGTTATGATTCTGATTTGTATCTGTAAATCTTTTCAGGCATACCTGTTAAAATATGATTCAACTCATGGACCATACAAGGGAACAATCCAAGTTGTTGATGAGTCCACTCTGGAAATCAATGGAAAGAAGATCAAAGTTAGTAGCAAAAGGTAGTTCCACAGTTTGGAATCAATAAGTGCTTTCAACTGTCCATGCTATTTGCATATAAAGGTATGATCTATTTTATGCATGCTAAAATCTGTCAATATTCAGGGATCCAGTTGAGATCCCTTGGGGTGATTACGGGGCTGATTACGTAGTCGAGTCATCTGGAGTCTTTACCACTGTTGAGAAAGCATCATCACACAAAAAGGTTAGAAACCATTGTTGGTTTGCAAACATGATATTTAACCATCTCATAGGATTTTTAAATAAAGGGCTATTCTGCAGGGTGGTGCTAAGAAGGTCGTAATCTCAGCTCCATCAGCTGATGCACCTATGTTTGTAGTTGGTGTGAATGAGAACACTTACAAGCCCAGCATGGATGTCGTTTCCAATGCTAGCTGTACCACCAATTGCCTTGCTCCTTTGGCTAAGGTTGGTACTTATACCTGGGTCATTATTATTATTATCATTATTATTATCATTATTATTATTATTATTATTATTATTGTTATTGTTCTTCTTCTTGTTCTTCTTCTTCTTCTTGTTCTTGTTTTTGTTCTTGTTATTGTTATTCTTCTTCTTCTTCTTCTTCTTCTTCTTATTATTATTATTATTAGCCTGAGTTTAATATTGTTTTCATTGTATTGTTTAGTGGAGAAGAATCGGTTATGATCCACCCATTTGTTTTAATGTGCAATTTCAGATTTTTTTAATATTATATTTACGATGTCTTCACAATACTCATTTCTTGTGTTAAATTTTTTCCCCTTTTTTGGCAATATTGTACTTCACAGGTTGTGCATGAAGAGTTTGGCATTTTAGAGGGTCTAATGACAACTGTCCATGCAACTACAGGTATGTGTTCTGCCAGCAATTTTGTCCCTGGATTTTTTGGGACTTTCACATTTGTTGCTGGTTATTGTTTTATGCATAGCTCTGGATGTTTCTTCTTGACACTCTTGTTGATGTCCAGCCACACAGAAGACAGTTGATGGTCCTTCAAGGAAGGACTGGAGAGGTGGCCGTGGAGCAGGACAAAACATCATCCCTAGTTCTACTGGTGCCGCTAAGGTTATTATTATTAGGGGATTGAATGTCAGAACATATTTTTCGTACTTTTTCTGCCCATCTCTTTTATCATTTATCTGAACTATCTAAAATGTATTAGGCTGTTGGGAAAGTTCTTCCAGAACTCAATGGGAAGCTCACTGGAATGGCTTTCCGTGTTCCAACTCCTAATGTGTCTGTTGTGGACTTAACCTGTCGGCTTGACAAGAGTGCTTCTTACGAGGACGTGAAAGCAGCCATAAAGTATGTAAAAGCTTAATTTCGGCCTTTTAAAGTATGCAATGCTCACTCATATTTCATTGTGTGTAAAGACCGGTAATTCATGAACATCCTGGGTTATTTATTAGGTATGCAGCAGAGGGCCCTTTGAAAGGCATTCTTGGGTACACGGATGAAGATGTGGTCTCCAGTGATTTTGTTGGCGATTCCAGGTACATAATATTTATATGCTCTACTACGCTTCAATAATTGTACCAAATTCTTTTGAAATGCATAATTATAATTAGATACGTAAATCTCCATGGTTTTAATTTATTATTGATGTAACTGATCGGCTTATTTTGTTGTGATTGGTGCATAACTATTGATGATATTTTGTTGGCTGGCACCAAGTCTATTTTATTTTATTGTATTATTATTGTTATTTTTGTTGTTGGAACTGTATATATCCAACCGTAAATTGTAGCAGGATTGTTTTCATGTCACATTAACTTGGAGATGTGAATCACTTCTCTACTCTTTTGGGATCTTTATAGGTCCAGCATATTTGATGCTAAGGCTGGAATAGGCCTTAGCAAGTCTTTCATGAAGCTCGTCTCTTGGTATGACAACGAGTGGGGTTACAGGTATTCTCTCTCTCTCTCTCTCTCTCTCTCTCTCTCTTTCTCTTACCTGATTTACATGTTCCTTTTGCAGTAACCGTGTGTTGGACCTGATCGAGCATATGGCTTTGGTGGCAGCTACTAAGTAAACAAATAGCCATCAATTTTGTTTTTGTTGGGCAAAAGGAGTAGATACCAAATAATTAGTATCTGGTCGTGCGAGAAGTTAGAATTTTCTTCTCTTGCGATATGGAAGACATTTAATAGTGTCAAAATAATGTAATACTACCGATGTATGAGAACTCGTGTAGAGAAAAACATGTATTGGTTTAGATGTATTTGGAGGATATATAACCTACCATGCCAAATGTGCTATCGTGGCATCCGTATTGATGTTCACAACATAAACTATATAAGAAGTTATGGTTGAATGATGTGATGCCATAAAGATTTTTGTGTTGTAGAAGATTTGGCCTGTGTTCATTTCAACTCGACAAACTGAATGAGAAGACGGTTTGAATTTGGTGCTGTTTAGATATCATTTTACACTATGTTTCTTTCCTCTACTTGCAGTATGGACAGAATTAGTTATAAATCAAGAATATACATTTACATTAATAGCACATGGGCATGAACTATTCCCTTGTACCATAGTCTTGCAATTTGAGTAGTTATCATATCTTATCTTATCTATGGGTGTGAATACAAGGATAAAACTTTCTCTCATTCATTCCTATACAGCGAGTATAAATATTCAAAAATATTGATAAAATAAACAAAAATCGTTGGAATAATCAAATATTTAGGGGGTGATTGGATATGAATTCAACTAGTAAAAAATTGGATTTTTTTTAACTATAGTTAAATTAAAAAAAAAATGGTATAATTAGTTATAAGTGGATATATTAAAATAATAATTAAAATAAAATAAGTAAAGTTGATTTGATATAAAAGTAGGAAAAAGTGATTGGAAGTGATAGTTAGTTAAAAAATTATGTGAGTGGATGAATAGTGAATTAAAGTTGATGTGATGTGTAAGAATGATTGATTGATATTATTTAATTATATTGGTAATATTGGAGATAGTGAAGTTGAGTTAAATTTAAGTTTTGATTGAGATTTTTAGTGTTCAAACTATATACAATCACGCCCTTAAGAATCTTAAAAAAAAGGTAAAAAGAATGAAAAAGAGAGAGAAACTAAGGCTATATTTGGTAGACAAATAAGCTAACTTATAGCTTATTTGCTTAGCTTATAAGCTTCGTTTGGTAGGACGAGCCTTTTTAAAAAGCTCGAGCTTATCTTATAAGTTTTTTTAGGTAGCTTTTCAAATAAGCTCGTTGAAATTTTTATTTCAACTAGCTTATCAGCTAATCTTACCAAACACTTTTATCATATGAGTTAGTCTTTCAGCTATAAGTCATATAAGCTATAAGCTTTAAACTCGAAAATTACTGATAAATTATAAACTTGCTTATCAGCTAGTTTTACCAAACACAACCTAATTTAAAAATATTTTTGCGTTAGTGGCAAGTGTCGTAGAGTTAAAGTTTAGGCTAGAAATTTTTCACCTACTTACCACCCTATGCAGCCTCATTTCCCACAAACCAGTCAACCTTCTCACCGTTCAGCCAACGTTCACTCGCCCACACAAGTATTGTTCGCGGTTACTCAAACATCTCACCTGAACGTTGCTCGAAGATGAAAATCGGAGTGGAAATTGACTAAAAAACCTCCCATTATGGTGAAATCGACGCCATTGTCATCATCGTCTCCGTTGTCCGAAGAGGTCTCACCTAAGATAGTAAAGCCAATCTAGATTTAATTTTACAATTAATAAGTCCGAAACAACCGTTTACCCCCTTTGTTGTGTAAAATGACGGTCGTGTCCACTGATGCATATATGTCACCATGTAATTGAGCTATATTTACACTTATGCCACCGCGTCCCACCTGTGGTCAATGCTTGAAAGACTTAATCTTAACCATTGTTTGGAAAAATCCAATAGTGTATATTCATTCTTATTTCTTGAACCAACCCTTGTTCTTATATGCTCCTTATCTTTATACACATATAAACGGTTAGGGTAATCGGGTCAGGTAACGAGTTTTTCTAATATACCCGCACCCGACCGGACTCGAGGTTCGGGTAGCATAATTCTACCCAAACCCAACCCGAAACCCGACATCATGGGTTTTCCCGTCCAAAAAATACGAGTAACTTGCGGATAAACCGACCCTACAAATTTTATTGACATGCATAACCTAAATAATGAATAAAATGACCTAAAAGAGATCATGTATGAGAAAAAAGAATGTGATGAACACTACCCCGCATATATATTCTTTATAAATAAAAACTAAATTATCTACTAATTGTAATAATAAAATATTATATTCATCTATCAAGTCTACTACACAATATAAATTTAAAAAAAAAAAAAAATTAAAAAGATTGAACGTGCAAGTGTTGCAAATATTATTTTAAATAAAATAATGCATATAAAATTTAATGAAAAAATTATTATTTTTCATAGATATTGTAGACTATGTTTGATAAACCTAGTTGATAAGCTATTGATCGTTGATAAGTTAGTTGATAGCTTATAAGTGAATTTCGAGTTTATAGATGATAGTTTTTTGTTTATACTGAAAAGTTACCTGATATGATAAAATTGGAAAATTAGCATATAAGTCAACTAAAATAAAAATTTTTATTTGAAAACTACTCAAGGAAACTTATTTGAATAAATTAAGGTTATAAGCTAAACAAAAAAAACTTATAAATTAACTTATAGTGTTTTCCAAACACAATCTTCGTATTAATCTTAATAAACATAATCGAACACTGATATAGCATACAGAACAAGTCAATTAAACCTCTAGGAATGTCAGGTCGGCATGGTTTGTCTTTAGCTCGAACAGACCAGTTGGTCTCAATGGCTTGGTTAGACTAAGGCATTAGTTCGACATTGGACAATTTGAGAGCCCAATAGACTTGTTAATAAGCGATCGCATGACTCAGAGGTAAGGTGATCGAGATAATATGAGGCCTGAGGGTTGATGGACCCCCGACCTTGAGTAACGGAATAGTCACAAGGCAAGAAGTTAGGAAGCCAACCTCGGTGTACTCAAGTCGTATGGCGATCTCATAATCCTCAGGACGGATGATGACCCTGAAACCGAGGTTGGGTGACGACCTCGAGACCATCAGGTCAGATGACGACCTTGAAGTACTTCAGTTTTAGCGTCAGACAGAGGTGCTCATGTCGCGTCTAATCTGGAACCTATAAATCGTACACCTGACATAAATATAATCCCTTATATATGTGAAGTGTTTATCCTCAAGGATATTGAAGATACATGAAGATCTAGTTACTTAAGAAGGAAGATATGAGAACTTCCGATCATATCTGAAGTCTTTCAACTAGCAAGTAACCTATCAAGGTTTTATTTTACACAACACACACAAACGCGTAATATTATATACAACTGCCTCTATCATTGGACGCGGATTGACTTGAGCGTCGGAGCCCTTTCCCCCCAGGACCTCTCCCGGCGTTTTGTAGGTCATTGGAGACGACAAGGTGGTTCGAATTGGCGGATTGCAGTTCAAACTTCAAATTGGATTTTTAGACAAACTTGCATAACAAATGCACTGGTGTTGCAATGCCCATTATTATTGAAAACTGAAATATTATTTTCTTGCTTTTCATGTGGTCACAATAAATAGCAAAATGGGTCACAATCTTTACCCAAAATGTGCCAAAAAGTTGGAAAATGATAGAAAGCTAAAAGCGATGTGTTGTTCTAATATTCTTTCAGTTGGGTCCCCAGATTTTTGTGGATTCAAAGCTCTACGGACCCGAAAGTGTGTTATTTATTATTACTTGTAATAGTGTATGTAGTTGGACACACATGTGATACTATACAAACTCAATAATAATAATTGTACTATGTATCTATAACAAAATCGATGTCATAGTTACATTTTTTGGAATATGCTGCACACCACTTGTTCCAACTTCCAAGCTTAGGTTAAGTGTCGTCTTTTTTGTTTAACGATTATTTTATTTAAATTTGAAATTTAATAATTTTATATTATTTATTTTATCTCATTTTTTTTCTACATCCCCCTATATATTAATACAGAATGCGCTGAGCCTACGTGGCTGATTCTGGTGCTTCGGAATCCTATGTGGCAAAATTACATGCTTCGTTATTAGGCTTGGGTAAATTTTAATTTAATTTCAAACAAAAAATAATTAGGTTCGGATTACCATAGATATGTTGATTATTTATGGTCATGTTACATGTATTAATTTTATTCTTATATCATTCCTTATTATAACTATTGAATTGTATATATATTTTAAAAGTTCATAACTTTTGTATTTTTTTTATCAGTTTTACATATGTAATATATCAAATTAATCTTCTTTTGATGAGCTTCGATTTAACATCCATATTGTATGTATAAAAAAAAATAATTTATATTTATCTTTATAACAATGATATAATTATTTTTAATATTAATTAGAAAAATAAAATTATTTATCAACTAATAAATTTATATTTCAAGTAGTTATATGATAATGTTATAAGAACTAATATAATATAACTTATGTAAGTCATAAGTAACACATCATTCTAATATATATAGTAATATATATATTTTTTTGTAAAAAACTAAACTAAATTTAATATAGTTTTCTCATTAATTTTAAAATTTAAGAATAATTTTTTAACAAGTAACCGTATAATACACGGGTGTTGTACTAGTTTTACTAATATAACTAATAATTGTTATACAAATAATGATCCCCTTTGTCACATGATTGCTTCTTTATATCAATGGAAAAAACTATATGTGCAACTTTTTTGTACAACATTCAATGACAACATGATGTGACATAATGTGGGTGGTTGAAATGCAAATAACAACGTATGTATTAAATCTATCTTACAATATTAAATCAATCTTATAATATTATCTAATACTCATATGTAGTATTAAATCTATTTAATTCTTCTGTAAATACTTTTTTATCTCTATTTTTGTATATATATATTTATATTTATTTTAA